CAAGGGTTAGGCTGACCATATCTTTTTTACAGTTTTGAAGTTGTCCTCTGGACAGCTGAACAGCTACAGCAGCACGAACTATAGAGATTATACCTATACTCCTCCAGGTCTATCACCAGATTCCAGCACCACTTCGTGGCGCTCCAAAGGCTAATCCGTTCAATTAATCGATCTAAAAGTCGCACAGGGGCCATGTACGTCCGGCTACCTTCTAAAGGTGCGGCTTGAAGTCCTAAACTATTCGAAGGTACTTCTGTCAATTGTGTTATCATTTTTGTCCCCCCCCCCCCCCCCGCGTTCTCCATGGCACAGTATTAGCCGCAGGGCCGACGCCCCTCGGCCTACAGAGACTGCAACGCCTGATGTCAAGCTTTTTGCTAAGATTTGCAAGCGCCCATGCTCAAAACTACGATACATAATTTGTGTTACCAGTAACATTTGCCATGTTAATGTAAATTGTTGTTTCATTTTAATCTACACTCTCGGGGCCTTCATATATCTGTACCACCCAGATAAGATTCTGACAAAGCTTCTGAGCTCTATCGGTTTACAAAAAGCCCGCTGGACCATTGTAAAACGAAGAACGCCGATGATTTATTTCATGCAGTCATCCCTGACTTCTGCAGGTGATTGACTATAAAATGCAGGCAGAATTTATCTCGCGGTAGATTGTGGCTTCTATTCCAGTTAAAGGAGGTGAAATTAAAAGCTATAAAACGCGCGCTTATTGGCAAATTGGCCATGTTTGGTGATTTTTGGCTAGGGGGATTTTACTATCAGAGAGCCCTTTGTCAACTCTACCTCTCCCTTGCAAGGCTCTGACTTACACTTGCACTGAAATATACGGGCCTGTCGGTTTGGGAGCCCCTCGTGAAGCTTTTGCCTCCCCCATCCCGAAGTCTAATAACCGCCCTTGCTCTATGGCGGGCTGGGAGTTGAGACAGGTTTCCGCACTAAGTAGTGATTAGAGTGTTGTGCGCCACTTTACCCGCACTTCAAGACTGCCTGATTTGGACACCAAATTCTCATAAGCTGCATGTCGCATGGAAAAAGTTATCGATGACATCCCAGGGAGGTCACGTGTCACATACAATGTGACATACAATGTGACATACAATGAGGTCACATACAATGTGCACATGAGCCAAGATGATCTTTCCATTTATTTCATATAGCCTCATCAAAAGCATGCTTACAGCAGTTCAAGTGGTAGTGAGCGAGGTGTCGTGTATGGATTAGTTCATTGTTGTGACAATTTACAGAGAAAAAATTGGCTAGACAACATTCCATTGATTTCAGGGCAGGACATAGGAATGTGGGGTGTCTGAACCATGTAATGTCCTCTGCTTCCTGGCTGGGATCTGGCAAGCTTCAGCTCAGGACCAACAATATGGTGTTTGCTGCTTAGAAAAAAGTTAGTAGCAGACTTTGTGCGGATTTTACACACAAAAAATTACAACTTGTACTGCACGCTGTTCTTTTGAATGCTCTGAGATGGTCTGTTAGTTTGTCTGGAGTGTCCTGTGATCCCTCATGTTACCGTTTTCGTTTCAGCCGGATGACGCACTCACCCAACATTGTTAGTAAAGATGGACTCATGATTCAGCTCACGATGTTTTTTCCTGGAGAGCCGATTCAGCTCACAACTCATCCTTAAACGACTGACTCATGAGTCGATTCATGATTTAGCTCTATTTAAACACAAGTATGGATATGACCACTCTATTACAAAGCGACACGTGTCGCTGATCGAAATTCCAACCAACGGGCGTTGGTGGGTATAGTTATTGGCCCCTGGCGGAGCCAATCATCACCAGGTGGTATTTCGTTACGGCAGCAGCACGAACTATAGTCCATAGCACATGGACTATAGTCCATAACGGAACTATGGTCCATAGAACTATTATGGAACTATAGTCCATAACGTTTTAGTCCATAGCACAAGGCACAAAAAGTGGCGAGGTTAAAGGTGTTACAAATCTGCCGGGACTGAAGTCGCAGATGGTTACGCACTCCATCCTATTTCATGTGGCTCGTTTTCAACATAAGTCAATCCTGAAAAATAGATAAGCTGTCAATAGAGCGCGCTATAAAATGTGATGTTTCGAAGCATAAAATAGAGCCCTCGTCACGTACACCGACACATATTCCTAAGGCTATGACGCTTATAAAGTGAGATGGGAACGCGAGCATCGATTCTCCCATCATTCGCGGTTCGCACTAGTTTTGGCCCCAGCTTCACGGCTGCCGCCTTTGTCATCACATGCTGATTGTGCTAGGTTGACCTGAAATGTACACTAAATTTTTCAGGAAACCCTGTGGTATGTGTAACTCACCGACGGTCATTTTGTCTTTTTACTCACTCGACTGGAAGGGGGTAATGCAGTGACGCAAGCGGTGACTGGGGTAAATCGGTTGTAGGGTTGTACATGTAATTTGAATTTTTTAAAAAACAACATTGAAAATTTTTGAAGACAAAACTTCTTGGCCGATTTGGACCAACAACTAGTCCATTATTGGACCTTGGATTCGACATTTGACAAAAACTTCCAGAAAACAGCATCTCTAATCGGGACATAAGCCGTTCTCTGCAGGCGCGGTATGCGCCCGGACTTGTAGCTCCTCGGTGGTGGGATGTTCGGTGCGGATAGAGGTCCCGCCATCGCCGCTTGTGGGAAGGGTGACAAGGGATCGAGTCGTCGGACAGGCCGGTCAGGCCGAGTCTCCAGAGTACACCGGCCGAGAATACCGTAAGGTGTAAGCGCAGGTCACGCCGGGTGCTCGCTGTGTGCCTGTCGGCTCCACCCTCTCATCAGGCGGGCGGTCCATGTCCAGGCCTGTGAGGGGCGCACTGTGGGGCGGTGCCTTGCACAGCTCACTCTGGCAAGCGGTAGGCGATGGCGCAGAGGCGCCGGAGGCGACGTATCGGTGTCAGATGGGGCGGATCACACACACACACACACACACCACACACACACACACACACACACACCCACACAACACACACACCACACACACACACACACGCACGCACGCACGCACGCACGCACGCACGCACGCACGCACGCACACGATACGTGTTCACGTGGGATAAGAGAATTTGACGAAACCCAAATAAACTCGCCATACATATTTGCCTCCGCCATATAAGTGACCTAATCATAAGAAGCGTCTCATTTACTGAAAGATTGGGGATTGGGTGTCCGAGGGGCGTAGCCAAAAGAGGCGTAATCATTGCCACTGCTTCATATTTGAGACCGCATCAAAGCTGAAGTATAAAAACACCCAGTTTTAAATGCACATATATTGGAACCTTTCAGACACAATTGACCTAAACACAAAGAAAGAGTACAGCACCATCCAGCTCAACAGCAGACAATTGATCATCTGTATGTATATTGCACGAGGCGTGGTAGGTCTATGATGGAATGCTGTATCGAATGTCCTG